TGGTCTTATGACCGTAATAAACTTTTGACCTTTTTTTGATCCTTATTGTACAAAGTCCCTTTGCGTTTCGCCATGGAGCCTTCATTAGGAAGAATCAGAGCATCCACATAGTGATGAAAGCTGGGCGGCGAAACGTGCAGGGACTCCGTGCAACAAGAGATCAGTCAACCGTCACCTGGTGTTTTCCCCTTTGTGTTCTGTCGGCACACTGCTGGGTGCCGCTCATTTCTCCCTTAATTCTAAAATGTAACCCCATCACTGAAAAGGACGGGGAAAGAGCTCCCAGCTTCAAGTGTGAAGACGGTTTCGGGGGATTTAAAAAGGTGCTCTGTGCTGCATGGCCGACACACTGCTAAAGGTGCTCGAGTCTCCTTGGAGGCCGATGGGCCGGCGGCCGCCTCCTTACCTACGAGCGCCAAGATGACCGTGAGCAGAGGGGCTGCGGGGAAGGCGATGGTCATGTTCATCTCCAGCATCTGCAGCAGGTCCACTGGAAAACAGGAGAGGAGTGGCAGGAGGGGTGAGAGAGGGGGGCAGGGCTGGCCACAGCCTCACGTACCTCTAATGGTGGCTCCCTTCCCCTGTCCCAAGAGCATGGCTACCCCTCCTCTCTCGCTCCCCCCCCCCAAACGACAGCTCTTTCTCGCCCCCCAGTCACAGAGGGAGCCGGGGACCCACTGCCTCCAGCTGTCATCCAACCAGAAGTGGGAAAAGAGGCCCGGAAAAAGGCAGACTGTGAGAAGCTGCACCTCAAAGGCCCTCGCCAGTGCCGGCCTGCAGGTCAGAGCTTTGTTCGTGGTCCCCCCCCCCCGGGAAAGGAAGAGGGGTCTTCTCTCTTTTTTTAGCCTCTGTCGGCAACCGGTCCGAGAAGCAGGCGAACTGGCTCTGTCTGATCCCAACCGCCTTCCGACCCCTCTGAAGGACACCGGTTTTCTCCCGGGACAACCAGCAATGCTTACCGATGAAGACGAAGATCTGGTGGTGCGAGTACCGCAAGAGCATGGAGACGGACAGGGTCTGGAAGGGAAGGGAGCGGGCCGGCGTGAGAAAGTTGGGCCCCCTCTGCACAGAGGCAGCGATGTTCCCAACCCTTACAGAGCCGGGTTTATTTTGATCTGGTGGTGCGAGTACCGCAAGAGCATGGAGACGGACAGGGTCTGGAAGGGAAGGGAGCGGGCCGGCGTGAGAAAGTTGGGCCCCCTCTGCACAGAGGCAGCGATGTTCCCAACCCTTACAGAGCCGGGTTTATTTTTTAAGAAACCGGTAATTCCAAATCTTTTTGTTTTAGAGAGGAGGAGGAGGAGAAGAAGAGGAGGAGAAGGAAGAGGAGGAGATTGGATTTATACCCTGCCCTTCACTACCCGAAGGAGTCTCTCAAAAGCGTTCCATTATGAAAACAAAACAAACCCAATGATGGTTTCCTAAATTAAAGGTAGCCATGGATATCATTTAGAACTGTGATCTTTGAAATATGAGGCAATCCTTTGCAATGTGTGAGGCCCGGAGTCTAATTAGGAAGCATGGCCACATCACCCACCAGCAATGCATTGTCCAGTAGTTGTTAAAACCACAGAAGACATGTTGATTAGTGTAGTATTTTAATACCATTACAATGGGAGATTTACAGTGGAATCCTTAACACTCTTTATTGGTATTAACTGCACAGACCTGGGTGGGATTCTGGTAGACCTGTTTAGGATTGCTCTGTCAGTAATGTAGCTGGCAATAATTTGCCTCATTTGCATGTGTTGGAAAGTGTTAAAACTGCTTCCTTCTTAATTGATAGTGAGAACACTTTATGCCATGGCTCAATTATTGTCAAATGCCTTTTAAAATGCAATCTGTCCTCCTGTTAATTACTTATGTAATCACATCTAACACTTCTGGAGACAACCAACTGGAGAGGTGAAAGATGATCAAAGCAACATAGTTGTAAATTGTTGTGGCAATTAGTACAGGTCTTGTACTTAGTCTCTAGGGGCTCTTGTAACTGGAGAAGTGAGTGCTGGAGACAAAATAGCTTGATAAAGAACAGTCTTTTTTGATTTGCCTTATTTTGCTTGCAGCCGATGGGGAATGGAATGAAAGGGTCTTATATCTCATCCCGATATGCCATAAAAGGTTAGAGATGGCAAAAATCCAGTCAATTGAGTCATTCTGAATCACCTAACTATTTCCAGGATTTGATGGACACTTTCTGGTTAGCCAAACAATTCACTGTCTTGGGGGATTTAATAGACACAGATGTTTCAGAAAAGAACATATATCTTATTTCAACCAGTTCCACCTCCATTTCTTAGTAGGACTTTCCTTTAAGCCCATAGATCTCTGCCTTGTACCACATAGTTGGGAGAACTGTAATTCAGTGTTGGTAAAAGTCAAAATAATTCAGATTATTTCTTGTTCATCACAGCAACCAGAAGCTATTTTTGGCTATTTGTGAGGTTATAATTAGGTTCTTCTATTGTTTACCTGTGGTGGAACTGGATACCTTTATTTCTATCACAAATTTCTTTCAAGTACTACATTCTTGCTCAAGCTTTAGCTGCTGCACTCAGCCTGAGGCTTTGTTCAGTGTTTCCTAGACCAGATAAAGAAGAACTGTGCTACATTCAAGCTATTTGACACAGGTTTTAGTTTTGTAGGCAGGTTTTTTTTAAAAAATTACAGCTGGATTTGGAGACTTGCTAAATAAATAGTATGTGATTCATCAACAACTATGCCCCAGCAGTGTTGCAAAATATAACATTATCATATGACATCAGTAATAGAAGAAATACATCTATATATAGTCAAATATGGCCCCTGCCACACGGGGGAGAAAATGCGTGGCCAAAGTGTGGCTTTTGGAAGCCGCACCAAAATAGACACGCCACGGCGGGATCACATGAATCCCCTGAGCCGCGGCGCCGTTGCTCCCCAGCACGATCAGATGCCGTGGAGGAAGCCACGGTCAGAGACCAAGGCAGCCGGCTGCGCATGCGCACTTCGTCCAGGAGCTGGGGATGCGCCGGTAGAAGGACGCACCGATGATCCCACGGCCACGCTTGCTGCGGCCGTTCAGGTAAGACCACCTCTGTCGGTAGTTCTTTTTTGCTGCGGGTTTTTGGGGGTAGGGACGGATCGGGGATGGGTGCGCACCGCTTCCCAGATGTTGCGGTGAGATCGCGCCCGTTTGCTGCGCCCCCGATCCGTCCCTCTCCTGGGCCAAAACTCTCTGTGTGACCAGGACCTAAGTAAGGAGCTGAAACTGCAGCCAGTTGGTAGGTGATGTTGGTAGATAAGGCTGATAGTCTGGAAGGGACTGTGCTACTTTCTTTGAATGACATGAGGCTTTCTGTTGGGTATTACAAGTTGAAAACACTCAGTATATCTGGGGTTAAATGTTTGTTTATGTTACTCACAGGAAGTCACATGTTTTTTATGTAACCAATGTTCTTTAGATGTAGAAAGCCCGGGAATTTTCTCCCTGATCTAGGAATTTGATTGGGACTAAAGTGTCAAGGTGTATTATCATTTTATGGTTCTCTTCCCGTCTTTGTTTGGTGTTCTGAAGAAGAAGAGTAGCCATAATCTCGCTCTTCTAATTTTGTCTTTGTAGAGTAAGGATGTAGCAGATTTTGCTCTGTTGTTATTTTCATCCCAGTTACCCTTCCCATGCTAGAATTTAGTAAAAACTTTATATTTTAATCACACATGGACTCTGAGTCCGAATTATTTTATTCCGGGACTGCTGGACTATTTTATCTCTGCTAAATACCATTTTTTCAATATCTCACTATCACCCAACACTTTCTTTGGTAGGTTGCATTAAAAGCTTGAGAACTGTATTGAAGTAAGTTGTTATGGTTGCCGAAAAGGCTTCCTTTCTGCCTTCAGTTAGGAACTCATGAACTCAGCCAGCCACACTTACCCATAATATGGTAACCCTATTGTAACAAGTTTACTGTGGGTTGCTCTTGTTTGTGTTTAATTCTCTTGTGACTTGCTTTGGGGAGAAAACCTGGCTTATAAATATTTTAATAACTAAAAGAACACAGACACTGTTACATATATTCACAAATATTCATAGTTTGAGTTTTCTGTTAATTTTTAGCTTCTCTTTGGCTGCGATCACATGCACAGTTAGACCAGACATAGGTGCGAATGCCAGGCGGATTTAAATGGTGCAATCAGACAACAACATCTGGGAAGCTCCCCGCTGCTGTCAGCAACCCATTCTGCTCCGTCGCAGAAGTGGAGTTAAAAGACACCAGCGAAAAACTGGTAGTAAACGGGTTGCGATGGACCACGGACGGACTTTCCCGTATCTGATTGCTCCAGCGCGCTCTCATGGTGTTGGGATGGTCTGATCAGGCCATACCGACTCCGTGCTGTTGTCCCCCCCCCCCTTGCAGTATGCACATCATCGCAAACTCCATAGGGAGCCCTCGGTGTGGAGGTGCGATTCATCGATCTCTCATTTAAGCGCATGGGGGGGGAAACAGCACACACAAAAAAGACTCACTCACAGTAGTGTCTGATCACACACTGATGGACTGTGCCTGCAGCTTCAAATGGAGGTGTGATAGTGCAACTGTGGGTCAAATTCCTCCGGAAGAAATACCCTCCCTTCCCCCCATTTTTTCTGGCACATGTGACCGCAACCTTTTATATGAAAAGTGCATACCCCACTTTCACTGCCAGTGGGAGACTGGAGCAGATTGCAACATCATTCTTTCCTCCTCTGTTTTATTCTCACAACAACCCTGTGAGGTAGGCTAGGCAGGGAAACAGTGACTGCCCCAAGGTCACTGAATGGACTTCCATAGTAGAGTGGGGATTGGAACCTGGGTCTCTCAGATCCTAGGCCAACACTCTAACCACTGCACCATGGACATAATCCAAGCAATCCAGTGAACTGTGAGCACACACCCACAGCAGATATTATGGATGATGACTCAAGAGCAAACAGTCATTGCTTGCAGGGTAGCTTTCATGTTCAAATGGGTATGCAAAAACCGAAGCGTTGCTTCTTATGCCCTTAGAAGGTATTTTACTGGACTGCAGTTTAGCCACAAAGGTAATCAATCATTTATGAAATGGTTTATCTCCCTGGCCTTTTCTCTGTAGTTTTCAAATGTTGTCCCCCAAGTATAGTTTCATGTACTTTCTAAAGCTGTATCCACATGGAGATGATTCTTGATTTCCCCAGCATCACTGCAGTGAATGTAAAGTTCTTCAGGTAGTTCACCTGAATTTGCTTCAGATTTTGATAACCTATGCTGCCAATTTGGGATTGTGTGAAAACACCCTGAGAAATGCATTTGTGTCTTAGCAACACTCCTTGGGTTTTGCTCAAAATCTTTCCAGTGTTTCACCTGAACAGTTCCCAGATTTATTCTGCATTTCTGTACACAAGGAATTGTGAATTGTGCGTACGGGAGTGGATGATAATTTATTACAAAGGGAACAAGATGTTTTGTAAAAATAATAAAACAATTGCTTCTATATTGAGGAACGGAGTCCTTGTAAAAGAACTGGGTCAATGGCCACCTGGGTCTACTTCATGGTGAACTAAAAAAATATTTCTCTGGGAGGCCAGGGCTGGCTTGCTCTCATAACTGCAGTTTATTGGCCCATTGGCTCAAGAAAGCCTAAATACCAGGGAAAGTCAATACTGTATCACAACACTCCATAGCTAACACCTGGAATATATTCTCCAGAGTGAAAACAGCAGGGAACTGACCAGAAATAACCTCACTCATATTATTGCTTCAATTAGACCAAAACAGCTTTCTCTTTGAAAACTTAATAATAAACACTGCAGGTCATTCAGTTGTTCAGAATCCCATTGGGAAGGCAAAGCAGATGGAGCCCTTTAGTGAGAACTTTCGCTGTCATAGAGACAAGAGGCACGAATCAGGAGAGATATTGATTTTAATTGGAACCAACAGCACCTACATGCTGCCTTAATAACCATGTCATCATATAAAAAATTCTTCCCTCCATTCCCCCCCCACCTCAACTGTCTGCCAGCAAGAATGAAAGAAATACCTTTGCCATTAATAACTGTGTCTTTTCCAGGTTCATTGCTTATTCTGGCACTCTCTACCAGGCATAGGTACATTTCACAGATTCTATGTGTAGCAGAAGCATGGGGGGGCTCTATGTAAACACACTTTGCATGGTTTCGTAAGAGGCAGAGTGTATGGCTAGGGTTTATTTAGTGGTAAACTGGATATGAAGAGAACAGGTAACAAAAAGCAAACCTCTCTCCTTACAGGCAAATCACCTGTTATATATTTTCACCTTTTGGATGAACTCTGTTTCTCATAAATTCATTGAACCAGTCTCCCTTTTCCCTTGACTAAGCAAAACTGTGCTATCATTTTCCTTTTCCAAAACATTTTCCAGTTACCTTTTCCCCCATCCCAGTGTCCACTAAATTAAAATAAAAGAAAACATGAAGGATGCACTTTTGTTCAGCAGTGTAAGGAGGAAAAGGACTCGTAGTGCAATTTGCAGTAGAAATTTCTTTACTGAAATTGTTTTATTGTGAGAATGATATTTACACTACCAATTAGCTATTTCTCAGCTAGCCTGCAACCTCTGGGCAGTTCATTTACCGGCTCTAAACTCATCATTTGTTAAAAAAAAATTGCTATTATAATTCTATTAACAAAGGAGGTGGAGGAGGAGGAGGAGGAGGAGGCAATGACTACAAACATGGATGGCTTCAAGAGGGGATTGGATAAACATATGGAGCAGAGATCCATCAGTGGTATAGATAGGAACTCTTGGTCTGGGGCAAGTGATGCCCTGTTTTCTTGGTGCTGGGGGAGGGGGGCAACAGTGGGAGAGCTTCTAGTGTCCTGGCCCCACTGGTGGACCTCCTGATGGCACCTGGTATTTTTGGTCACTGTGTGACAGAGTGTTGGACTGGATGGGCCATTGGCCTGATCCAATACCGGCTTTTCTTATGTTCTTATGTTTATGTTTAAGAAGAAGAAAAAGAGTTGGTTTTATACCCCACTCTTCACTACCGGAAGGAGTCTCAGAGTGGCTTATAACTGCCTTCCCTTCCTCTCCCCTCTGAGAGAACTGTGACTGACCCAAGGTCACCCAGCTGGCTTCATATGGAAGAGTGAGGAATCAAACCTGGTTCTCCAGATTAGAATCTGCCACTCTTAACCACTAGACCAAACAGGCTCTCTTAGCACCATTTTAGCACCCTTTTCTCAGCATTTGGTCTCTGAGGGGTAAATCTGAGAAGAGGAGTTTAAAGGTTTCTAGCTAGAGCTAGCTAAAACTGCTATGCAGCCTTATTGGAATGTGTATGTGTGTGTGTGGGGGGGGGGTTCATGTACAATTTCATCCTGGGAACTGGATGCAGGATCAGTGGTGTGATTTTTAAATCTGCCAGTGTTCAGCTGTCTGTGATATGAGTTATGACTACCAAAAAGGGCAAGTGTTTGAGGGGTCGGAGAGGGCAAATTTTCCAATTTTCTTTAGTATCTATTTAATAACATGAACAGTGTTCCTTTTAGATGTGTTGTGAGAACTGATTCTTTGGTTGGAAACTGAACAGAGAACATGGTTTAGAATCTTTGTTTCCCTAAAGCTACTGAATTATGCTTACCTATTAAGAGCCAGTTTGGTGTAGTGGTTAAGTGCGCGGACTCTAATCTGGGAGAACCAGATTAGACATCACAGGGTGTCTGTTGTGGGGAGGGGAAGGGAAAGGAGTTTGTAAGCCACTCTGAAACACCTTTCAGTAGTGAAGGGCGGGGTATAAATCCAATCTCTTCTCCTTCTTCTTCTATTTGAAGTTCAGTAGAACAAATTTAGAGTCCAGTGGCACCTTTGAGACTAAAAGGTATTTAAGGCCACTGGTCTCTAAATTTGTTCTACTGCTTCAGACCAACACAGCTGACCACCTGGAACGATTTGAAGTTCAGTATCTGCAGAAGTGTGCTTGTCCACCAAGGCTTATACCGTGAATAAAGCTTTGTTGGTCTTAAAGGTGCCACTGGACTCAAACTTTGTTCTATTTGAAGTTGAGCCACTGACTTCACAAGAATGGGTGCAGCACAGTGGCTAAGAGAATGATCTGTGATCCAGAAGGTGGCTTTTTAAAATCTCATCTTCAGCACAAACTCAATAGGTGCCCTTAGGCAAGTCAGTATTTATTTATTGATTTGATTTGATTTATACCTTGCCCTCCCCGCCAAAGCAGGCTCAGGGAGGTTTACATAAAAATCTGTAAACAGAAAAAACAAATAAATCAAAATATAAGTAAAAACATGACATAAAGTGCTAGTATATGACAATGGTGAAGCATTGGTAGTATCAAAATAATAGGAGTACAGTCAGCAAATCAATCTTACGGTGATCTCTCAATCTGGGCCATTTTGGCTGTAGATGATGGTGTTGATGATATTGGTGTTATTGGGGCTAGGGCCTTAATTTATTAAGTGTGGCTCATTAGTCGAAGGCCTGGTGGAAGAGCTCCATCTTACAGGCCCTGCAGAACTGTAAAAGGTCCTGCAGGGTCCTGAGATCTTCCGGGAGCTCATTCCACCAGCTAGGAGCCGCTACTGAAAAGTCCCTGGCCCTAGTTGATGCCAGCATAACGTCATTAGGGCCTGGAAGGGCCAGACAGTTTTGGGCTCGATTCAAAATCTATTGCCTTTATTATTTAGGATTTATGACCTTTCCATGGGGCTTGTAAGGCAGAGATGTTCCTCCAGGCCTTTGGTTGAGGACGGCGACGGGTCAGCAGCTAAACTGGCACTCTCATACCTCCCATCTCCCTTCACCCTATCCCGTTAGGAGGCTACGGGGAAGCTGCAATTTTGGAATAGACCTTCTGTTATATATTGATTCTATTATTCCAGCTTTAACTTAATCTAAATACGGTTCAAGGTGCTGGTTGTTACCTTTAAAGCCCTATATGGCCGGGGATCTACTTACCTAAGGGACCGCCTTTCCCCACATGTGCCCCAGAGAACATTAAGATCTGGATCCCAAAATCGCCTGGCTCTTACGGGCCCTAAAGAGGCCAGGATGGCTCCAACGAGGGCCAGGGCCTTCTCTGTGGTGGCCCCCCCACCGGTGGAATGAGCTCCCGGATGACATCAGGGCCCCGCGGGACCTTTTGCAGTTCTGCAGGGCCTGTAAAACGGAGCTCTTCCACCAAGCCTTCAAGTAAGGGGCCGCCTTAACATTACGGCCCTGGCCCTAATATCAACATCTTCACCAACCTGACTGTAACCAACACCTTTACCAGCCAGATGACTAACAGCTTGGCAGAGCCTGGGAGGCGGCCACTCAAATGAAATGAAGACAGAAGGTCGCCATCTTGTATTATGATCATGTTTTTACATTATAATCTTACTTTAAATGCTGTTTTAATATATACTGAACGTTTAATGTATTTGTTTATAAATATGTTGTTCGCGGCCCTGAGACTGCTACGTCGGGGAGGTGCGGGATATAAATTTAAATATAAATAAATAAAATAAATCTTGTAAACCGCCCTGAGCCCTACCCGCAGGAAAGGGCGGTCCAGAAGTCTAAATAAATAAATTTTAAAAACAGAAACGTTCAGGAGGGCATTTTTTATGAAGGGAGCAGGGTCGTTGATAAGGTTTGCAAGGCTTCAAGGAGCTCTCACTGCTTTGCTCACTTGCATACACGATGCCGTTGCTCTGTGCATCTAATTCTGCAATCCAGTTCCGTTTCATCGCTCGCTGCCTGCGTTATACTGTTTTTGTATTTAGCACACTGCTTTAGTGCACCTTGCCGATTTTGTCATTCTGTTTCACTGCACTGCTGATGGCAGAGCTCTGACCGCGTTAAGTTTCAACTGTGCAGTCACCTTAAGTCTCCTAAAGAAAGGTGGAATTATAAACGAAGTAAACAAAGACATCTGCGGGCAGGCGCTTGGTCACGTCACAGACACCCCGACAGACACAGCAAGAAAGGGGGGGGGACGCTTCGCCCCTGGAGCCCTGGAAGCTCCCGCATCCATTTCCAAACTTACCCAGGGTCACCACCATGAAGCCGAGGCGCTGGCGGGTGCTCTGAGACAGGCGCAGAAAGCCGTACTCCAAGGAATACTCCACGATATACTCTTCCTGGGGCCACACTGCAAGTGGAAAGGGGGGAACAGGAGGTCAAGAGGCTGGACACAATGAGATGCGGCCATGGCAGAGGATGGCCGCCCGCTGCAAGGAAACCGGGTGAACAGACAGCATAATCCAGCAGATTTAAAAACACACACATTGGAGTGGACCATTTATTTCGGAGAACTTATATCATCTTGTTACTTCACAATTCTGTGGCTAATTAAGAACATAAGAACATGTCCAACAAAAATACTAGGTGCCATCAGGAGGTCCAGAAGTGGGGCCAGGACACTAGAAGCCCCCCCCCCACTGTGCCCCCCCCCAAGCACCAAGAATCACTTGCCCCAGCCTGAGAGTTCCTGTCTATAACTTGTGGGTAATAGTCTCTTGAAGCCGTCCGTGGCTTGTAGCCACCACCACCTCTTGTGGCAGTGAATTCCATGTGTTCATCACTCTTTGGGTGAAGAAGTGCTTCCTTTTATCCGTTCTAACCTGACTGCTCAGCAATTTCATGGAGTGCCCACGAGTTCTTGTATTGTGAGAAAGGGAGGAAAGTACTTCTTTCTCAACCTGCTCTATCCCATGCATAATCTAGATCATAATTCTAGATCTCAGAGCAAATAGAGTAATGATGTTGGTCACGGGACTGACTAAGAGGTATCAACGTTTGTCTTATTTTATAGCCCTATATAAATCTGTCAAAAAGGGAACACAGTACTGCTGATACCAAGAAAAAAAATTCACTGTGAAAAAGCAATTTCTAACAATTATATTTAAAGACCTGTGCAAACTTATTTGCCTGATAATTACTTTAAAGTTAAGTACAATATTGTAATAGAAGTAAGCTTTATAAAGTGGGAATCTGAACGTGCATGCACAGCATGGCTTAACGAAATAAATCTTAAACATGTGTACCATGTCAAAAGACAAGCCCCAACAAAGTGCAAGACAGAATGCATGTCAAACCAGGTTGCTTAGCGTCATACACCTCAAAAAAAAAATTCAGGCACCGAGATGACTTGTATTTTCTGTGCTTTTGGCAAGCGATAAGAACATGAGATAAGCCAATGTTGGATCAGTCCAATGGCCCATCCAGTCCAACACTCTGTCACACGGTGGCCAAAAATACCAGGTGCCCTCAGGAGGTCCAGCAGTGGGGCCAGGACACTAGAAGCCCGCCCACTGTTGACCCGCCCAAGCACCAAGAATACAGAGCATCACTTGCCCCAGAGTTCCTATCTATATCTTGTGGCTAATAGCCACTGATGGACTTCTGCTCCATATGCTTATCTAATTCCCTCTTGAATGATTTAAACCACAGATATATAGCAAAGTAACGTGTTTCCCAGGTAAGGTCACGTTTCCAATCTTCATTATAGCCCATCATTTACTATCGCGCTTAAGAAAAATATAATTAAGGTGGCTCACAGGCTTCCCCCCCCTCCAAAAAGTTAGGCATGATGCATGTTAGCTGTACTGGGCAATGCTATTTCTGTAACTTGCCAGTGGTGGGTGTTATCCAAGTACAGTGGTAATGAAGAAGAAGAAGAGACTGGATTTCTACCCCACCCTTCACTACCCAAAGGAGTCTCAGAGTGGCTTACAAACGCCTTTCCCTTCCCCTCTCCACAACAGACACCCTGGGAGGTAGGTGGGGCTGAGAGAGTTCTGACAGAAACTGGTCTTTTTCAAGAACAGCTGTGCCAGAACTATGGCTTGCCCAAGGTCATCCAGCAGGTGCAAGTGGAGGAGTGGGGAATCAAATCCAGTCCTCCCAGATCAGAGTCCGCGCTCTTAACCACTACACCAAAATGCCCTTGTGCACTTAAGTTTTGGGGAAAGGTCCACAAACAGGTAGAACCGGGATGTGAAATGGTGGCGTCTCTAAGGCCAGTTGTTTCCTCATTAAGTTACACTGCATGATTTCCTAAAAGACTGAAGGTAGTTCTCTTATATTTAATTTCTGCAGCCAGGGCGGTAATACCTAGTAAGACTGGAAGCAGAATAATGCTCCAAGTACGCAAGAATGGTTAGAGAAAATTAAGGAAATGCATGTTAATTTAACGCCCTCTCGTTTACAGAGAGGAAGGTGTTTGCTTTAACTGGAATCTTCATGAGTCCCTGTAATTGACTGGATAACTCAATAATGCATATAAATGGTGGTAATACAAATTTTCCGTTTATTGTCTTTGGATGAGAAAATAAGCATCAAATCATTCTGGACAGGGGGAAAGGGACGAACAGTTGTGCCCTCTCGGAAGAGGCGTTCCTGACTGAGAGAAACGGGGAGGGGACGTCTCTTCTACGGTAGCTTTGCCAGTACTGGTGTAAAAAAAATAAAATAAAAGTGCCTGTTCGAAAAGGTGAATAAATGGGCATCCTATACGAATTAATCAGAAGGTCTTTTTGTCAGTGCAGCAGACTTACACGGAATGATACCCACCGACAGCTATTGTCCAGGATAACAAAATGGAACCTCAATATTCAGAAGCAGTTTACCCTCTGAACAACAGGGGCAAATCAGCCATCGCTTTCATATTCTAACTGCAAGGTTTATCTAAAAGCAGCTCTGCTGCGTCAGTCAAACGCTCCGGAAGCCTGCTTCTCACGGAGGCCGACGTCTCCCCCTATTGCTGAATTCCGGCATCCGGTATTCAGAGATACTCCGCCTCTGAACATGGAGGTTTCAGTTAGCCCATTATGGCTACCTGTCATTGATCGGTCTCTATCCCCATGGGAATACCCTTTTACGGACACCCAAGCGAGTGCCCAACACTGCATCCAGTGGCAGTGAGTTCCACAAGTTAACAATTGCGCTGTGTGAAGAAGCACTTCCTCCTGTCTGTTCTACACAGTTTCACTGCAGAGCCATCTTCCCAGAGGGGTTTGGGGCTGGGTGCTGCCGGGAGGACATGAACCTGAAGCTGAACACAGCAGGAAGGGGGGGGTGGGGGGCTTCCTCCTGCCAACTCCCAACCTGATGGCCAAGAGCCAAGGAGGGACGCTGAGCAACATTCTGTGAAGGGCTTAGAACGGTAAAGGTCCACAGCAGTCAAGCTCCGGGGGAGGTCGTCGTGCAAAGCCCCACGCTTATCTGCTGAAGCGCAGAGATCCCGGCTTTTACTTCAAACACCCAAAGGGACACAGACCCGCTGCTGACAGCCACCCGGGCTTTGAATGGCTTCATTTAAAAAGAAGAAAGAAAACCTCGGAGAGTTCGCATTTAACGGCCACAGCTGCCGACAGAGCTGTTCGCCACGGATCAGGAGGCGAGGCTTTTGATGGATTTTAACGGAAAAGGCTATTTGGAAAAGGCCACCGAAAGCACAGCTGAACGGGCAGGGGCTGCTGGGGGGAGGGAACAGGATTGATTTTCGACACGGGACGACGACCCCCCCCACCCCCGGTCTGTGCTGACAGGTTTTTTGTTGGGGACTGAAAACAAATCGGACAGTATCATGATGCCCCTGTACAAATTGATGGTGCGGCCTCATTTGGAGTACTGTGTACAGTTCTGGTCACTGCACCTCAAAAAAGATGTCACTGCATTGGAAAAAGTGCAGAAAAGGGCAACTAAAATGATTAAGGGGGTGGAATGCCTTCCTTATGAGGAAAGGTTAAAGCAGTTAGGGTTTTTTAGCTTGGAGAAATGACGACTGAGGGGTGACACGATAGAAGTTTACAGAACTATGCATGGGATAGAGAAGGCAGAGAAAGAAGTCCTCTTCTCCCTTCCTCACAATACAAGAACTTGTGGTGGGCACTCAATGAAATTAACGAGTAGCAGGGGTCATTTTGTAGAAAAAGAGGTACAAGTGCTCATTAGCATAACTCATTAGCATATGTCACGCCCCCTGACATCACCGGAAGTGTGGCAGAAGGCAACACCCACTGCTCAGGCTACACTGGACTGTTTTGGATTGCTAGCTACATGTGCCCACCCCCTGGGCTCTTTACTGCCGGAGCGCCACTCCTGTGCGCTCCTGCAGGAAATGACCCCTGAGTAGTAGTCTTAGAACAGACAAAAGAAAGTACTTCTTTAACATGGGGAATTCACTGCTGCAGGAAGTGGTGGTGGCTACAAGTAGAGACAGCTTCAAGTGGGGCCTGGATAAACATCTGGAGCAGAGGTCCATCCGTGGCTATGAGCCACAAGGTATAGATGGAACACTCTGGGGCAGGGGTGCTCTGTATTCTTGGTGCTTGGGGGGGGGCAACAGTGGGAGGGCTTTGGGAGTTCTGGCTCCACTGTGGACCTCCTAATGGCACCTGGATTTTGGACACTGTTTGACAAAGAGTGCTGGACTGGATGCGCCATTGGCCTGATCCAACATGGCTTCTCTCGTGTTCTTATGCTTCGCAGGCTGATGTTACAACCTTTCCCTAAGTCCCCCCCAACAGGGCAGATGCCTTCCTTCTCCTGTGGGTGCTGAGGTCACCACAGGGAGGCCCAATCTTGAGTCCCCCACAAACAGCCCAGCTTTCTCTCCCTCTTTGCGCATCTCCCTCCCACAGAAGGCCCGCCGGACTCACTCCCCAGCCATCTCCGAATGCTGATTAAGATCCTGTCGTTCAGAGGTGCCTTTTGCTTAATCCAGGTATGCAAAGTAGTCCACAAAGATGTCATTGGCCTAAAAAAATTATTACTAGCCTTGCCAGTCAAACAGTCCTGGACTTCCAAGTCCACAACAAGTGAGCACCAACTCTTCCAAATTAAAAACCTCCCCCCTCGTCTAGTCACCTAGAACCTGAATCCGACTCGCTAGCGACGAGCACCTTTTTATAACCCGTTGTCTGCAGCTTCGTTGGGCTAATTTCTCTGGGGGTCAGGGTTTTATCTGGGCCAGCGGCTGCCGTGCCAGCCATTATTGCCTTAAATGGTCCTGTTTTTCCCTTTATCCATTTTAAACTGCACTCTAAGCTCCCTCAAGAGCCCTGAGTGGGGTAGAAGACAGGGAATACCCTTCAAGAATAATAAATAGCCAGCAAGGATTTATACCAAGGCTTTGATTATTCCCTGGCTCCCACTCCCAATTTTCCCAAAGGAAAGCATGGACGTAAGGATTTCAAATGGGCACAGGGCAAGTTAGACCAGCCCATCAAAAATTATTCCAACTGCAAATCTGGGGAGGGGAAAATGCATTTGGGCCTCTCTGCTGCAGAGAGATCTAATTTCTGAACGGCCCTGTCAGTAATTAAACAGGAGCAGTCTTCTTTGGCTTGCATTCTCAGCAAGCTCTGAACTGTCCACCCCGACGCTGCGGTTGAGGAATTTTTAACTGCTCTGAGATGTGTTCCTTCCAAAAGGCCACTGCCTTTGTTCCCGGGATTCAAACGCAGAAGCCATTAATCTATTTTTCTTTGGGGATGTCCAACTTCTCTGGGGCCTTCGCTTTCTCTCCTCTTAAACCGTTTGCCAAGTCACCCACTTCTCTCTCTGGGAATTGCAGTTCTGTGATCCGGAGGGCTAGGGATCTTCAGAAGGGAAATCTCATTCCCTGAAGAGTAATTGGGGGTGGGGAGAAGCAGGAGGAGAGAGGAAGCCATAGCAGTTACAAATGTACATGGGAGGGACTGTGGCTCAATGGCAGAGCCTCTGCTTGGCGTACAGAAGGTTCCAGGTTCAATCCCCGGCACCTCCAGTTAAAAGTGCCAGGCAGCAGGTGATGTGAAAGACCTCTGCTTGAGACCCTGGAGTGCCACTGCCCCTGTCTGAGTAGGCAATACTGACTTCGATGGACTAAAGGTCCGATTCAGTATAAAGCAGCTTCATGTGTAGCACAGAAATACACTTAGGGATCAAGAAAAACTCCTCGCTAATTGATCCCCCACCAATTCATCTGCCATTGCACTTCTCTCACGCTGAGGACTGGGGTGCGCTGGCAGGCTGCAAGAGAACTGCCAAAAGGAAAAAAAGGTACACAAAAGGCAAGCACCTGTTCACAGAGGCTGCCCGCTGAACCTCTGCACGAGTCAGGGGTTGTCAGCTTTCCAAGCGTAAGACACACCCAGGAAAGCAATTTGTACAGAAGGAGGGTGTTTATGGGCAATTGCTTTCATGAGGCATGCTTTGGTGATGGACGGAGTCTGGCGGTGAGCAGCAACTCACACAGGTACACAACGGGTCACCCTCTGCAGGGGGGCATACCTAATTTTTACTGTTGGACACTGCCCTGAGCCCTGTATTACAGGGGAGGGCAGTTTCGAAATCTAATCTAATAAATAAATAAACCTGCCCTGAACCAATCAAACCTCTCCCAACGTCGAGACCTTCTAAGATACCTGCTCACTGCATCTCTAGGAGGCGCACTGCTGTAAGTTATATTGCCTTCCCATCGGGACCCATACCCAGGGCGCAGAATCCTTAATCTCACACTTTCTTAAAGCCACCCTGTACAGGAAAAACAGTGATGCACATCTGCAATTTTTATTCATGGGGGAGGGAAGGATTGTCCCTCAGGCGTCAGGACTCGGAAGTGCGGGAGACGCCAATTTAATACCAACTCTTTCAGCGTGAACTTCTGTTAAGTAAACGCAGCCCACTTCTTGCACACCCATACTAGGTGCCGTTCACCCCAAAGAACTGCCAAAAGGAAAAAAAGGTACACAAAAGGCAAGCACCTGTTCACAGAGGCTGCCCGCTGAACCTCTGCACGAGTCAGGGGTTGTCAGCTTTCCAAGCGTAAGACACACCCAGGAAAGCAATTTGTACAGAAGGAGGGTGTTTATGGGCAATTGCTTTCATGAGGCATGCTTTGGTGATGGAAGGAGTCTGGCGGTGAGCAGCAACTCACACAGGTACACAACAGGACACCCTCTACAGGGGGGCATACCTAATTTTTACTGTTGGACACTGCCCTGAGCCCTGTCTTACAGGGGAGGGCAGTTTCGAAATCTAATCTAATAAATAAATAAATAAACCTGCCCTGAACCAATCAAACCTCTCCCAACGTTGAGACCTTCTAAGATACCCGCTCACGGCATCTCTACGAGGCACACTGCTGTAAGTTATATTGCCTTCCCTTTGGGACCCATACCCAGGGCGCAGAATCCTTAATCTCACAGTGATGCACATCTGCAATTTTTATTCATGGGGGAGGGAAGGATTGTCCCTCAGGCGTCAGGACTCGGAAGTGCGGGAGACGCCAATTTAATACCAACTCTTTCAGCGTGAACTTCTGTTAAGTAAACGCAGCCCACTTCTTGCACACCCATACTAGGTGCCGTTCACCCCAAACTTAACAGCAAAACATTTTCAAGTCCCATTAAAGCCCCAGAGGGTTTCAAGTGCTGCCAGACAGCTAGATCAACGGTTTTAACAACGTACAGAAAGGTCAGGCTGGAGGAGCAGATGGAGGAAAGGAGTCATGAGTGCTAAAGAGGTGACAAAAGATGAGAAAAGGAAGGATTCGAGAAGGTGAGAGGAAAGCAGGATGGGAGGGGTGGGAGGAAGCGAAGGCCCAGGCGCGTCTCTTTACCTGCTTTGGCCAGCATCTCAAACTCGGACATGGTCTCGCTGAGAGGCTGCATACCTTTAGGGGCCGTCTCGCTGCCGAACGAGAACTCCTGGCTTTTGTTCTGGGCCAGCACCTTGGCACCGCCAGACCGGGGCGGCTTGAAGAACAGCTTTGGCTCGATATCTAACTCAAACTGTTAGCAGGGGGAAGGGGGGAAAAAAGAATTAGAGCCGGAAGAATTCAAACAGATCCCAGGCCGGGCAAAACAGCTTAAGGCAGGGGGTCCCCAACCAATTCTCCCTCTAAGCTGTGGAGTCTTGTGAGCAAAAATTCCACTTTGTGTGCTCCTGGCATTAAACTTGTGAGCGAGCGATTTGACTGCTGCAAAAATCAGTTTGCTCTGGAGCCAGTTTGCTCTGAGCTGAGGCAAAAATGTGTGAGCCGGGGGCTAAAAAACGATGAGCTAGCTCACACCAACTCAGCTTGGGGGGGGACACTGTCCCGAACCTTTTTGCGCCTGCGGGTACCCTTTGGGATTCTGACGCTGGATGGAGGGGCGCAACCACAAAATGGCTGCTGCAAGAGGCAGGGCGACCACGAAATCTTGGAGAGTGAGATCGTGCATAACTCTAAGCTCTTCCAATGTGTCAGACAGAAGCTCCATTTAACAGGATGCCTTTTACAATGAACGTATTGTTTTAAAGTATTTTCTGGCATACACAGCTTTATCTTCAGGCTGTACCATGGAGATCAGACCTCCAGTGGCCAATCAAAAGCCCCAGCTGGCCCCACCCATTTTCGAATAATACTTGACGGGCGCCACAAAAAGCGTCTGTGGGCATCAGGATGCCCAGGGGCACCATGTTGGGGAACCCCCAGCTTAAGGCAACTCAGGAGCTTCAAGGGCTGAAGAATGCCGCAGCTCACGCCAGGCGCTGGTTTAGACCCTGACGGCCCAAATTCAGGTCCTAGGCAGTGTTCCCGCTAAGCTGAGTTCGTGTGAGCCAGCTCACACTTCTTTAGCCTCCGGCTCACGCGTTGTTGTCTTAGCTCAGTAAGGAGGGCTCCAGAGCAAGCTAATGTATGCAGCAGCCAAGTCGCTCGCTCACAACTTTGATGCCAGCAGCTCACAAAGCAGAATTTTTGCTCACAGGACTCCCACAGCTTAGAGGGAGCACTGAGTTCCTGCCTTCTTTCGAGGCCACCCACCCATGAAGGTGACCCAGATTTTGGGAAGCCAAATACCAAATATGTACCTTCAGAAAAGGCCCAGATGGATCCAGCATCTTGCTTCCCACAGTGCCTACTGAGAAGGCGAACAAACATGACACAAAAGACACCCCCCCCCATTTTCACCCTGCAGCAACTGGTGTTCACAGCCTCTAAACATGGAGGTTCCATTGAGCGATCCCAGCCATTCGATACTGGGGGTGGGGGAGCCGATCCGCTATGAATTCATTGAATCCCCGTTGAAAGCTCTCTCAGGGAAGTGCTGGTAACAACATTAACTGGCGGTATGTTCTGTAAGTAACACTGCACGAGGAATCATTTTCCCTTTGAGCCCAGATTGTGGCTCCGTCACAGAACATACACATTTCTCCCCCACTCTAATCAAGCCAATTATATTCGGCATCGCACCCTTGCATCCTGCCTCTTTTCTTTGCCACGCCCCTCCCGCCTGGGATATATAAGGGCTCAGAGAACTCCGTTCCTACTTGTATCTGATGAAGGAAGCTTCGACTCTTGAAAATCCTGAAAACCTTGTTGGTATCTAAGGTGCCGACTGGCATTGAACTTAGCACAATCACAGAACAAATTTCTTTAAAGAGATGTGACCCTGTCCTGCCAAAAACACACACACACACACACACACCGCGTTCTGGCCTTTACGTGAAGTGCTTTTCTTCAGCGGGGCTGTCTTGCTTACAGAACCAGTGCAGAACAGAGCCCGAGTGTTCTCTGCATGCTGTTGGTGGTGATTATTCTGAACTGCGAAACAATTCTGACTTGCAAAGCGTGTGTGCAGGGGGGGGGGAGGAAGTGCAAAGTCAATAGTAAACTGGCTTGCCCTTGGGAGGATGACTAAAGGAGAGCAACAGCGCCACCTGCAGGTAAGATGGTAAGCTCTCTGCCAACTTGGGGGACTGACCACCCCCCCAGCTATACGGAAGAACACGACTATTGAGTGATGGAGAGAGAAGAGACCTTCACAGACTGGCCTGAGAGTGCACCAGGAATGCAGAGGGTCAGTTAAAGGAGTTCAGTCCATGGGAGGGGCTGTGGCTCACTGCCAGAGCATCTGCTTGGCATGCAGAAGTTCCCAGGTTCAATCCTCAGCATCTCCAGTTGAAAGGACGAGGAAGGAGGTGATGTGAAAGACCCCCGGCCTGGGAACCTGGAGAGCTGTAAAGTGAGACTGTGGCTCAGTGGTAGCGCCTCTGCTTGGCATGCAGAAGGTCCCAGGTTCAATCCTTGGCATCTCCAGTTGAAAGGACCAGGCAGGAGGTGATGTGAAAGACCTTGGCCTGAGACCCTGGAGAGCTATAAAGAGGGACTGTGGCTCAGTGGTAGAGCATCTGCTTGGCACACAGAAGGTCCCAGGTTCAATCCTCGGCATCTCCAGTTAAAAGGACCGGGGTGAGATTTCCAAGCTGATGTTACCGCCTTGCTATTCCTCACAAACCCCCGCCCCCTGGCCAGCTGGCATTTAATATAAGGCTGCTAGCTGCAGTTTTGCTTCCAACTAGCCAACAGCTGTGAACAATGCCAAGGCCCACGATCTTCCGGCTTCACAGCCCAGAGTTGCTTTGCCAGGAGTGTCGTTCTTAAATGCAAGCTACCTTGAGCATCCTGGAAAGAAGAGGTGTAAACACTGCGTTTACCTGGAATTTCTTTTTTCCTTTTTAAGAACAGCCCTCTTGGGAGCACTGCCCATTCTACTAAAGGTAAAAGGTTTCCCTTTCTTGAAAGCCAGTCGAATCCGACTCTAAGGGGGCGGTGCTCGTCTCCGTTTCCAAGCCGAAGAGCCAGCGCTATCTGAAGACATTTCTGTGGTCATGTGGCTGGCATGACTAGACGCCGAGGTGCACGGAACGCTGATACCTTCCCACCAAAGCGGTACCTACTTATCGACTTGCAATGTCTTGCTTTTGAACTGCTAGGTTGGCAGGAGCTGGGGCCGGAGACGGGAGCTCACTCCGTCACGCGGCACTTGGGTCTCGAACTGCCGAACTACATACCTTCCGGTCTGCAGCTCAGTGTCTTAACAGAGGGGGAAATCCCAGCAGCAAAGCCTTGGCAGGATATGGCACCTAGCAAAAACGGTCTCTGCTGCATGCCCATCAAAATTAGCAAGCACAAGCTGGAAAGCGAGATCACAGGTATTAGGAGTAAAAAAAAAAAAGCTCCCTTTCCCAGCTGTGGAACGTTCATCTTCTGCTCTACTTATCAAGCAACCTGCAAGAGCACTAAAAACAAATTTTAATAAATACAGGCAGCTCCAGGTTTGTTCCATTCCCTCTCTGAGTGGCTATTAATGTAAAGAGAGAGCGGGGAACTATATTGAGGAAAACAAATTATGTACAACCGGAAAGTAAAATTCAATAAATTGCCACTGGGGGATGCCAGGCATTCAGGATGTGGAAGACGGAGACATGTTCCAACAAGCAATTAATTTGGTTTAACGAAAACGTTTAACCACGCTGGCCCGCCTGGGACAGGGCAGGAAATTGAATGAAAACAAGCTCATGTATTCCGGCTACCTAGGGTGTGAAAGAAAGCTTAAATACAGTTAAAATAATATAACAAAAAATAAAACAGAAACCCCCCCAAAACACAGCAAAGTACCCCTCCAGGTGGCTCACGTCAGTGAGTCAAGCAACAAGTTGCGCTGACAGAATCCAAATCCTGTGACTGGCATACGTTGTGCCAGCTGAGGCAACTTTGATCAGGCCTTCTTCCTTGGCATCATCAAGTCTGTTCCTGGCACTCAACGGGGCCGGGCAAGGAGTCGAGGGGGGGGGACTGAGCCCCTCCCCCTTAAAGGCAGAGGTATTCATTCTGTGGCTCCTGGAGGTAATCATCTAGAGGCATCTTCTGGAAACGCGTTGATTGCATGTCATCCTCACCTGATGTCGCTGGGCCCAAAAACTATAATTGAGCTTCAAGAGGGAATTCAAGAGGGAGTTGGATACACATATGGAGCAGAGGTCCATCAGTGGCTATTAGCCACAAGGTATAGATAGGAACTCTCGGTCTGGGGCAAGTGATGCTCTGTATCTTGTTGTGGCGAGGGGGCTTGCGTGGTTCGATGAAGCTGTGGGCTATGCCGTGGAGGGCCACCCAAGACGGACAGGCCACAGCAGAGAACTCAGACCAAGAGTGATCCCCTGGAGAAGGAAATGGCAACCCACTCCAGTATTTTTGCCAAGAAAACCCCATGGACAGTATCAAAAGGCTTTTGAAGGACTAAAGGCCTGAATTGTGACCTGCTTGAATTGCCATTGCTAGCAGTGTAGAAAACTCCTTAGCTTTGGCTCTTGAATTTAAGGTTTGTGCTGTCTAACGCAGGTCCTAAAAAGTATTGAGACATTTAAGCGAGTTTTCTTGTTCGCTTGCTGCGTGACTTTAGAGTACTAATCTGTTGGCTACAGATTAAATCTTCATACTGATAGAAACTGAAACAAACTCCATAAATAAATTTTAAAAATTAAACAACAGTCTATTTCCTTGTGTGCAACTGCCCTGGGGGGTCCACGGGGTTCAGGCTCGGACCCTTTGACAGCAGGGGCTGCAGAGAAGAGTGAGGGGAAGGTGTAGAGGAGGGGACCTTCACTTTCACCCCTGGCATAAGGCCTGCTAGTCAAGGAAGCTCATAGCTTACCCATCCCTCCAGTTCCTGCAGCAGTGGCTGTTTCAAGATGCCAATCACCTGCCAGCCAAAAGCCCCACTGGGCAACAGCCGTGCCCTCTTTTCTGAAGTGTGGGTTGGGCACCACACTGGGAATGGCGCCCAAAAGAGTACTGTGGCCTAAAGGAAGTGAGTATCGTGGCCTAAAGGGAAACCTTAACCCAGCCATTCCTCTGGCTTCTGAAACTCGCCCAGAGCCCATCTTGAATTGCACTTTTAGAAAGAACTGAAGAGCTAATGAGCTCAAACGGCAGCAACCTTCAGAGAGGCTACAGCTAAGCCAC